TATATATATATATATATACACTTCAGGGAGGTATGTCCGATACGCAGTCTGGTTAAACTAACTTCAGCTCCTCTGGGGAAGCCCTCAGATTTTCAGGGCTTCACCTGGGCACAATATCGTGGAAGTTGTTCATAATGTGTTCGTCCCCATGTTTCTCACACAGACTGGAGCTGTAGCTTTTGACATTATTATGAAAGTTGGTTTGCGGGAGGGTGTTTTCCGTTGATTCAGCGTGGGCAAAAAAAGTAGAATGATCAGGAAGATTTTCCCTATAACTCGGTCTCCTTTCTCCATATTTTGTATGCACATTTCTTACTGTTTGCCCCCGACTGAAATTTACGAGTGAAAATGAAATAAAACCAATGAAGCCATTTCTTAAATTTGTTTACTTCTACATTTTGATTTCAGAGAAAGGCTTAGAAAGTCTAGACAAGAGGGGACTACTGAGCTGAGACAGTCTGCGTCAACCAAGCCACCCAACAGACCCAACAGACTGGTAACACTCGAGGAGGCTGGTCTAGACGAAGAGAGGAGGGCGCTGGCAAGACAGAGACAGGCAAAAAGGAGGCTCAAGATCAAAGCCAGCCCCCAGTTATATCTCATTGAGATGGAGAAGAGGAGGGCAAGATATCAAGCGACAAAAGCACATCGGGCCAGTTTTGTTATTGAAAGCTCCAGCACAGAACAAATACAAAACGTCGAGGTTTACTCTGTCAGAGGCCTGGAGGAAAAATCTGGGCAAAAGCAGGACAAAGGTGACCTTACGTAAGTTAGACTTCGCTTTAAAAAAAAAAAAGCTTCTGTGTCGGCAAGTTCTGTTGACGCCACAATATCGTTTTGCGAGACGGCCAGAAGACAATGTGATACATATTATAACTATAACTGATCTATTTTATGTCAGAAATTCTGAGGACATTCCGTATGATTCTTGCGTGGGAACAGTTTTAAAAACAACTCTTCCACACGTTCAGTTACCAATAGCATTCACATAATGCAAAATGCTAGATCCTTGTAGGACTTTTTTGTTTCTAAATTTGAAGGCCGCCAAGTAAACTATGGTAAGTCATGTTTTTCAAATTTTACAAGAGAGACCAAAAAAACAACAACAACAACCGGATGTTCTTGAAGCGTTTTGGGTGGATAAACTTCATTTTCATAAGGGAGCCTACAAGTGCATGACATTAGGCTCCCTTTTGAAAATGAAGTTTATCCTCCCAAAACGCGTCAAGAAAATCCAATTTTGGTCTCTCCTGTAAGATTTGAAAAACATGACTGACCATAGTTTACTTGGCCGCCCTCGATTAATCAAGTATGTATTTCTAGTTCAGCTCAGGGGACCGGTCAGCATGCGATCCTTCATTCGCTGACCCATCAGATATAAGTGGACAGGAGGAGGAGAGTGTCAGAGTGTCTGGTGAGATCTCAGCCCTGGGAGGAGCAGGGCACTAGTCCACAAAGAATCATTCAATGGCGGGTGGCGGTCTTTGAAATGTAAAATCTAAGTCTGTCAAAAAAGACGTGCCTTTTAACGGGTCATCTGACCCGTCATCATTTTTATCTTAACTGGGATTTTTCTGTTGTTGCTTCTGATCTGGCCAAAGATGATTTTTTTAAATTACCTGTTTGACACGTTGTATGTCGTAAATGTTTCCGTTGGAAGCTTTTGGAATTTGTCAGAAATCTATATCTCAGACATTCTCGGTTCCGACAGTGTCGCAAAAATCTGTTCTTGAAGTTGCTGGTATTATTATACTATGCTGGTATCATATTAAGTAAATTTTCCCCCCAGTTCCATGGAAGGGGGGGGGATGTCTATATCCAGTGTGGACGGAGACTGATTAGCCCTGTGTGCCAAGAGCTGTAAGTTTCCACGTCGTTGGCAACCAAGATAGACACAAGGAGATTCGTGGCAAGACAATGAAGGAATCACAAATCACTTGAGCCCTCTGCTATATATTGCTTAAGGGCTTACATAATGTTGGCATAGAATAGGTTAGTGTACAGTCTATCGCGTTTATTTTTAGATTGCCTACTGTGGGCTATGTTTCGGCAGTCTTCGGCAGGAGCACAATTGAGATGTGCCGTCTTTTTAATATTAATGTACCGCCAAATTCGCTACGAGTGTCGTCATCGTTTGGGTTATCCCCAAGAGCGATTTATTTAGTCAGGTTACCACTGTTGAATATCCCATTATGTTTAGTTAAAGCACGTGGACTTTGGCATGGCATATTAGAGATGTTTTACCACACTATAGACACAGAAGTGACAGTTGCGACGCCAGCAATGACCTTGTTTTTATATAATATTGGCTATCGTTTGTTTCTTGCTTCTTTTATTTCATTATTGTGCTTTACGTCATAGAACACAAACAATTGTGGGCGGCACTGCACGGCCGTGCTCGATGGACGAACCGCGCCTGGTGTTTGGTTTGTTGTCACCAAAGATAGTACATAACAAGATAGTTAAGTTCACTCCTCTCTTTGAGCTTGAGCCAATTAAAAACGTGTCCTCAAAATTCGGGGCGCTCTCTTCGCAAATGCGCACCCTTAGCGAACAGAGTAAACCTACTTGTGTGAAAAAAGCAAAGTGAAACTAATCAGTTTTTGAATAAATTAGAATTCCAATTTCGGAAGAACGCTTTTCTAAAATGGTTAGGCTGACAAAAAACCTCTTCCGGTGGAAGAGGCGACTGTTTTCTTCGTTTAATTTTACTTTAAAATGAGAAGCGAGACGTCTTTAAAATTATTTTGAAAAGCAACTGAAAATCCGCGCTGAACGAACCCGAACAGCGGATGAACAGCAGTCTATCTGCGCATGCAAGGGGGTGCTATTCCTATTCTTCCTCTGGAGAAACGAAAGAGAGCTTCAAAACAAAAACTGCAGCGCCATCTGAAGCAATGAGCGGACTTCCACGGTTACTCTTTTGGCTGAGTGAACTATCTTGTTATGTACTATCTTTGGTGTCACACATCTTGACATCACAAAAGACATCAGAATTGTTCTCTTGAATGTTTAAAGAGTTCATCTATCACAGCCACGTATGCCTTGTGATGGTATTTTATCACCCTGAAATCACAAAATAAACTCGTTTCATCATTCACGTGTATTGTTGTTGTTGTTGTTGTGTGTGTGTGTGTGGTAACCTATCCGTTCGAAATTTTTGGAGCCCCGAAGAGCGTGCTCTTCGCCAGGGCCACCGCCTCCATTTGTTGTTGTTGTTGTTATTGTTGTTGTTGTTGTTGTTGTTGTTGTTGTTGTTTGATCTCAAAGATGCATACTGAGCTTTGTCTCTTGTAAAATGTGACGTCACTCAGTACATTTTATAACCAAAACTAACCCTTTACTACTCACTGTTTTAAATTTTAGTTTTGCCTTATGACATTTCACAGATTTGTGGCGGGTGATTGGAGGGCGACAGTTGTAACTGCCTTGCCAAGGCAGAGCGACGTATCTGCACTTTTGTATGATTTTGAGTTACATCGCGCTACCATTGGAAATATGGGCGTGGTCCTTCAGTTACGTCTTTTTGCCATAGTGAAATGTTTTATTTGTAGTGCAGAGATACGTCTTCCTGCCTACAGCAGGTCTTACTTCTTTACATTCCTTCTGTTGTTTCTGTCTGTTTGTCTGTCTTACTTTTTCCCAGCATCAAATTATCATTATAATATAGTGTAATGCGCATAGAGCCTGCTGTTGAACGGTGATTGATATATGCGCTATACAAATGCTATCTATTATTATTATTATTATTAATTATTATTATT